AGTCAGCATTGTTGATCACTCCTGTGCCTTGTGCAGATTGAATTCACGATCCACAGGTCTGCTACAGCCCACTAAATGCAAATTCCCTCTCTGTAGCAATCCAGCACAGTTTTTGTGACACACAAGCTATAGTTTATTTGCACTCATCAGGCTTTCAATATGACATAAAATCATTGTAACATAATGCATTATTAAATATATTTTCTAGCTGAAAAAGACAAACTTGACAGACTGTCAGTGAACATTTTCATACTGTAGAAAAGGTTAGTGAAAAAAAAACCTGGAGTACATCCACCTATTAGTGTAAAAAAAGCTCAGCAGCTACTCAGAGCAAGAAACTGCATGCAAAGATCCTGCCCTCTGCCTTGTTCTCCATCAGGACCATAAACAGAATTTGAATTTTACTGCTAAATTTCATTTAGACAGTGATTTGTATGAGCATGGTTGAGTGTATGGATTATTCACAAAGCATTTACTTGGGCTGTTTGTTTGGTTTGGTGTTGCTTGGTCACCTCAATATAATGTGTTTTTTGCACTTTCATGGGTGACTGAGTATGTTTGTAGATGGGAAGAGGGGAAAAATGAAAGCTTCTAAGTGGTGTGAGTACTTTTACTGTGATTGTGAGGATCAGTTGTGAATTTGAGAGGGAATTCTCAGGAGATCTTTCCTAGTCAGGGATTGAAGGATACCCTCTTAAAAAAAAAAAAAAAAAAAAGAAACCAAGAACTTTTGTGGAGCTAGGAGCTCAGCAGTCCTTTATCAAGGAGGCCTCTGGAGTTTACACTTGCAGCAGAACAGAGGCAAGCCCAAACATCCTGCTGGTCACAGCCAGCCCAGTCTTACTAAAGGCAGGGTCCTGAGAGCTCTTTTGCAAGATCAAGGTGTTTGGCTTCAGGATCCTGCAGTGCTGGATCTGCCTCTTCCCAAGGATGCCTAAGGCTTGCCTCCGGCTCACAGGAGAAGTCTGCAGAGGTTTTCTTACCTGGGGCTCTCAGTTCTCTGTAAGATTTTTTTGTTTTAATCAAATGAAGTTGCCTTGGTTCTGAGTAGTTTAGTCCTTCTTTTTCTTAATAATGGAAAGATAACTGCATATTATCCTTTCTGTGGAAAATTGCTACTTTTTACTTAGAACTGGAATAACCTTTTCTGAAATGTCAGGCTTTCCCAGAGACTGGAAAATCCAGATTTTAATGTGGTAATATCCTTTCTGTGGAAAATCACTACCTTTTTCTTAGAACTGGAATAACCTTTTCTGAAATGTCAGGCTTTCCCAGAGATTGGGAAGTCCAGATCATAATAGTGGCTGTTTCTAAACACGTTATTGTAATAATTACTAGGAACTACTCTATGGATGGCTGTTATAAATTAGAGCCAAAAATATTACTAATGTTGACTTTTGATTTCCACACAAACAAACATGAGGGATTTTGGGATTTTTTTTTTAGATGTTGATGTAGCTGAAAGTACATGTTGATCTCAGTTATTATCTTACACATCTGTTGCAACTCTGAAATTTAGAAGACAGGTACATGCTGGTCTGTCACCTCAGATTTACCACTGAGAAACTGCAAATAATACAGCTCAGCACAGTGAGAGAGATGAGTAATCAATCAATATCCAAAGGGAGCAATAAGCAATATTTGGTTATGTGGCAGAGCAATTTTGGTTAAAGAAAGCTCAAGTATTTTGGTAAAAATTCATTTACATTTCTACACTACATGAACGTCTAGAAAATTACATATGTTAATTGCTGGGGATATCCCTTCTTCCAGAGAAGAAAAAAAGGGAGGAAATCTTGTTTGTTTGAAAATTACTCACGTAGAAAGCTTTTCTTGTTGTTCCACTTCTACGTGAACATCAAGGGTTGCTCTATTAAAGAGGTATTTTTCATTAAAATAATACATAAATATTTTATTAAATTAATTTGTAGCCTTAAGGCTTGACTTCAGTACACATAAATAATTTTCTATTTTTTTTCCCCCAAAACTCCTGGTGAACTGACTGGATTTTACATCCCCTAAGGAGATAGCTTTGCACAAGTTTAAAAAACAGAAATGTCAAATGCTCTCTGCAGGTGCATGTTTCTTGCTGTGATGGAGCACCTAGGGCCAGGATTTGGTCCTGGATATGTATTCAGGCAGGAATATAAAAGAAACCTCTCTTGTACCTTGCCATACGTCTGGCTACTAAAAATGGAGCTGTCAGCTTCCAGCTGCCAATCCATTAATTTTTTTTTTAAAGGTTAGGGTTACTTTTGACAAGTGACAGAGTACCCTGATACAAACAACTGGAATTGGAGGTTAGCATATCTAAAAACAAGGAGACACATTTTCTCAGTGACTTTTGGCTTAAATTTAATTACTTTGGAGAGGAAAAAACCCTTTTATTTTGTAAAAGGGCTAGACTGTGGTCTATGTTTGCATCGCCCTCGCTGCACAAAAAGCATTTATTTAGCTGAAATGGTCTCCCATTATTATCTTTCTTGATGTAAAACACCCTGAAGGTGGAAGAGGAAAGGTCTCTCCTTTTCCTAGCCTAAAGCTGATGCTTAAATCAAATCATTCCTCACTGTGAAAAGTGGCCTCTTGGCTATACAAAAACCTTTTACCCAGCATCTTTCGTGGAATATAACTTAATTGGGAAAGATTCATAACTTCTGATACAATCTTCTTGTCTTCAAGTTTAGACCAATGGCCCAAACAAATCATTTGAGATGAAGTTCCGAAATTAACCCCAAAGAATATGGGATAAAGTAGTTCTAAGGTTAATATGAATTGGACTGAATCCATTCTATTCTTTAAAAATAGAGGAAAAACTTTCAATTTTTTGTATTATCTCTTATTGACCTCTTGCTGCTGGGAAGGTTCAGGTGCCTGGACTGCCTCGTCTTCTCTGCTCAGATGTTCCATCTTATTTTTTATCTCAGTTCACTGTATTTATCGGTTCCAGAGGGAACATTTCCACTTAGCAGAAGCTGAAGGTAGGCAGGAATTCTGAAGAATGCAATATGGAGAGGCGAGGCATTTTTTGGAATGTGAGAAGTGCTAGGGAATTTGGAGTTCTGCAGCTGATTGCTGTGGTGCTGATCCTGTGGCAGTGATTCCCAGGCAAGGCTGGCCAGGGTAGTTGAAGAGATTTAATTTCAAGTTCTGTGACTGAAGCAATAGGGAGAGAAACGCACCTCAGTGACTTTCTCTCAGATTATTTTGCCATGGGAGCAGAGGAAAGCAGTTTTTTAAGGTTTTTGTGAAGTTTTCAAAGGATTGTAGCACAAGGTCTTGGCTCTCTGGTAGCACTAAATGACTGATGTCTGCATGCATTTGGGTGTGTTTGGGGTAAAGGAGCCCCAGAGTCTGGGGGGGAACTCTGATCTGGGATCAGCATATTAAATTATTCCCTCTTTTGGAGAGTCACTGGGTACAGATGTTATATAACGAGGATATTGATATTGTTCAGACATCTCACATGAGGCAAAACACACATGGCTTTGAAAACCTGCTTATTTCAGGGGCTCATTTTTTATTAATATGTTTCTTTTCTTTATTATTTTATACTAGCATCAAAGTGAAGCACATTTGTAGGGAGAAAAAAATTCTGCTTTTAGCAGCTATTATAACTGTTGTAATAAAACCTGACATTATTTTCCACAACCAGCTTTATCAGGGGCTACTGGAAGATGTGTCTTGATGTTAGGGAGGAAAAGTCAATATAAAGATTATTCCATGGTTCCCTATCACTTCATCAATGGCAGCTGCAGGCAGGGCATCAGGTTTGCTGCCTCCCTTCACAAATCTCTGGCCTGATCTTCTGTGTAGCCCCATTCTAGACAACAATAGGGGGTGTTTAGTTATGGCACTTTAACTTAGCATAGAAACCAGATTTAATTGAGCCATTAGGGATATTCTTTTATTGCCACTCAACAATGTCTTACAATACAGTGTGAAGTTCATTTTTAGCTTGAAGATTATTGCTCTAAGCAAGGAGTAAGAGTTACAGCTCTTACATAAAAGTAGTTATTTTTCTCTTGGTTGTGCTATAGTTACTTGGTTACAAGAGTGTGCTAAAAATGAGATTGCACTGAGAACAAGATAGGGCACAACTAACACCTGGTATTTAAGCTTCTGACAACTCCCTCTGAAATTTTCTAGTTTTTCTTTGGTGGAAGTGGGAAGTAAAATTTTTTACAAAATCAAAGCACTGTTTTCCCCAAGACTTCAACCATTTACTTTGTTTACTATTATTCTCTTAAATATGTCTTTTTTAATGGCTTCTGCAGAGAAATCAGAAACCCAGAGGTTTGGGGGATTTTTCCCATCACGCAAATCTCCCAAACACAAGTTTTTTCCTTCGTGTATTCCTACACATTTAAATCCTACCTTTCTTCTGAGGATCTCAAAAAATGAGACCAAGATCCTGATATCTTCAGAAAACCAAAGTTAAACATTCACAGGGAAAACCTGTACTTTCAAAGCTTGCAGAATTCCACTTTGCTCATTGATCTTGTGTTTTATTTCAGACACTGTATCTCTTTACACCTTTGATGTTATCATGGTCTTGCAGAGTTTGTACAGAACTTGCCTGTAGTATTTGGATCACAAAAAGAATCTTTGAGCTGCTTTGGGTTGTTGAACACAAGTTGGGTACATGTTTGCCTGTTCCATGTACAAGATCTCCTTGTGCTAACAGAACTTTAAAACAAAAACAAAACAAAACCACCCAAATTGGGGAACAGAAAGGTCAAAGAGAGCTTAGTATCAGTGTGAGATGACACTTGACAAATTTTCTAGATGACTTTGCACTGCAAAGCAACAACTGTCCTGTGTCTCTCTGCATGCATGTACCAGGAAAGAAGTATGAACCAAGTAGTTGAATATTGGTGCTTATTGCATATGGTCAATAAAGCTGCTTAAGTTCTTTGCACTGGATGTGTGGCATGCAAACAGCTACATGATACCTAATGGGCTTTTCTTTCTTGGTTTTCTTTTTTTTTTGATGAAAGGTCCGAGCCCTTTGGATCACACAGCAAGGAGTCCTTCTCTTCCTCCTGGCTACTCTGCTTGGAACTTGACCTGGGTCATGAGAGATACATCCCCTTTCTTCTCCCACAGAGGACGACACAGTGAGTAGCATGAATATGTTATCCTCAAGAGGCTGCAGCTCCCTGCCTAAGGTTTTGGTGTAAAACTGGAGTAAAGCAACACAAGTCAAATGTTTCATGGTAAAATATCCATACTGGCAGCATCTGAGGGCACTAGTAAGCCTCAGTGGCCCTTACCAGCTGCCCCTGGGACTTCCCCCACCTTGCCCAAGGGCTCAGGAGTCCCATTTCAGCCCAGCCTGAGGTCATTGTCATCTCTATGGAGGTGCCTGGTGACCTGGGCTGCCCCAGCCTGCCCTGCTCCCTCAAAAACAAGGGTCCAGACTGCAATATTTGAGCGGTGTGTTGAAATTCATCAATATTACAAAGAGAGGAACTGCACAGTGAGCTTTCTGCTTCTCATCTCCTTTTCTAACATCCATCCCTTCCAAAATCTGAGAATGTGTTTTCATCTGTTCTCAGGTATGACCTATCCATGGCCATCCCACTGTGAAGTACGATGGCTGTAGTTAGGACTGGGCTGCACAAGGCAATATCTAACGAGCAATCCACAAAGTGACTGCACTAGAATATATCTACTATATATCTACTACCAGTCTCTATGCAGGGAGATAAGGTGCTGAGAGGCTAATAAGATTTACTCACCCCAAGCCTGTAATTATCTGCTTGAGGGAAAAGTTTGACCTACCTATATGAAGGAGCCCCATATTTCTTCAAATTTATGTTGCAGCCTTTTATGTGTGCAATATATATTCTTTCCACTGGCATACAATATCTGCTCCTAGCTGTTGTATCTGCTTGAGTGATGAGGACACACCAATTTCATTTTGGAAGCAACAGTAGTACAATCTTTTTTTCCCTTACTTGGTTTTCTCAGAAGTTGCAAGAATGATTTTTAATTTATCCTTTATTACTTCTTCCTAAACTCTTCCAGTTTCTCAGTAATACTATTCTAAGGGAAGCTTTGTTCTTAAAAGCTAAGAGCACTGATTTCATCTGACAGCATCACATGGAGATAAATGTACTGCATCTCAGCAGAAATGATTTATGATGATTTTAGCTGATTGCACAAGACCAAATCCTACCATATTCCAACCATTTGTTTTGGCAGGAGAGGCAGGAATTTGATGGGGTGTTACACAAAATACAGTATTTGCTCAGGACAACAATAAACTGTTTTCTTCCTCAGTAGGTGTTATTTAGGACATGCACCTTGAAATTTCTGGAGAATCTTGAAGAGAGGCAGGAATAATTTGCTTTTTCTAGCTTTTCAATTTAACAGTTACAAAAATTTAAATTAAAGTGTAGTAGCCTCTAATTGAATTGAATTAAATTTCATTAAAGCATAGTATCCCTGGAAGGCACTCATTTCAGGCTGGAACACCCCATAGCATCACTGTGCAGACACTTCCTGCCTCTTGATATTTGCAGCCCACAGAGGAATGACGTGTGTATGTGCAGCAGAGCCCATAGTTATAGCCAAAACTGAGCATACTTCTTAAAACTTCTATTCCTCTGCATACCTTCAGCTTATAACCATGGTCATGTATATTAGTAAACTTCCCAGGGAGCTGGATTTCTGTTCAGAGCTGCTCTGCCCATGACAGGGTGGACAGCTCCTTTCGGTGGCTGACTACCAGCCCTGAGTCTACATGGCTCTGTGGAGGCCATGCAGGGACTCAGCAGAGTGAGGAAGAAGACAAAGTTAGACCATCCAAGCTCTAGGTGAGTACTCTTGTCCCAGGACCCAGCCTTCTGATTAGTGGTTAATCCAAAATCACACAATAAATCATAAGGAGAAATAAAATCCAGCAGCCTTTTACTACTAGAGTGATTTCTTCTTCTGTCAGCTTTCCTTACTGCTCCCAGCATGACTGATTACGGAGTGCTCAGTAACTCCTATCAAAACTTTTTTTGCCTAATCATCTGCTGGGCCCCATCTAATTAACTGGCTGACATTGCTGGAGTGGGGCAATATTAGTTGTCTTAATTACACTTTCTCTATGTTCTGCCATTGGAGAAATCTCTGATTGAAAGAGTGAGTAACTTGATATGTGGTGTCCTTCTTCCTCTGCCAAACTAAGGTCTCTTCTCTTTTGCTCAGAATTAAAAATTCTGACAGATTCTCTCTGGTAGTTCTGGCAGGAACAGTGCCTGATGATATCTTTGAAACCACAGGCAACAATCCCAAAAGATAATCACTGGCACAAGAAGATACTTGAGTGGTGCATTCACAGGACTTTTTTTTACTGTTTTGTCTAGAGATTTTTTTACATTTGTCTAGAGATTTTTTTACATTTGTCTCAATCCAAGCATTGATTAATCACCAGTCATCTCAGAGATGCAAAATCCACCTGCCTTTCAGAAAATCCCATGTGAAGTCAAAATTATCTGGGAATTCAACATGTGAGGCAGGAAGAGACTTTAAATCTCCAAATTTTTTATATCTTTTTGTTCTCACGAGGTACACTCAGACTGTTTCCTGTGGCTAGAACAAATTTTAATGCATTTGGCATATGTGGACTTACGGTAGCGTATTAATCTCCCATTTGCAGATCTGATGGATCTCTGTCCTGGGGCTTACATGATTAACTGCACCCAGCCACATATTTCATTTCTTGTCCTGGCTGGTTGAATGTTAATTTTCTCTTCTGTACAGGTATTCTATAAGAAATCAATTGTCCACTACATAAAATCTTATAAGCTTGTGTAATAGGGGTTCCAGATGACAGCTGCTCCTCCGGACCTTCATGCAGTTAACACATCCCTCTCTGCCCCATCCTCTCCATGTCCCTGGGCCAGCCAACAGCCCTGCACCTGGAGCATGATCCTGGCAGGGTGTGGTGGCAACTGTGGAAAGAGCTATTGATTGGAGCATAAATCAAATGAAATTCAACCCACCTAAACTCTGCTTTGAAAGAAGAACACATTTCATGCAACTAACAGGCCTAAGGTTGCCATGCTGGACTGCTGGAGTTGGCTTTTTCTTTTTAACTGTTCTTATATTACTGTGCTGGCTTTGTGTCTCTTTGCCACATTGTCCAGTAGCAGCTGAACTCCTTGGCTGCTCTGAACCAGCACTAGGCAGAGTACTGAAGTACCTCTCTCAGATTATATAGTTTACAGATTTTTCTTTTTTTTTTTGCCCCCCTAAAGTTTAGCAAATAGTGGTGTTTCGATGGCAAAATCAACTGGGACTAAAACTCAGGATGAGAGCAAATTTGGCTGCCTAGTCACTATTGTGCTTAAAAACATCTAGAAAAGGTGAGTTCAGCAGAGGAGGAACACACACCTACAAGAATGCATAATTATTCACAGCTTTGATTTAATAGGTACTAAAAGCCTAATCCACAGGATGGCCTCTATTAACAACTTATTAATAATTTCACTCAGCTCTATGTCTTCAGAAAACTAATTTGACAGGGTTGTTGGGGTTTTTTTAACACTTTCTAATGGAATGTCGTCTGTGATGTGTTCCTAATTTCCTGAATTTGGTTTGCTGACTTAAAAAAATAAAAATACATTGGACTAATTTTACTGTGGGATAATTTGGGGTCATTCTTGCTATGTATTTGATGCTCAGTGGCATGGCAGTTGCTCAGCAAGGTGTCAGATGATTAATTTTTTTCCCTGGTAGGTCATAAGCACCGTTTCATTCATGTCAGTTGGGTAGCAGACAGACACTGCTTCCACAAAACTCAGTGAGTCTGAACATGGAAGAGGGAAGATGAAGAGAAAAAGGGCACCAGCCAGATGAATTCATTTTGCAGTTAGCATCCCATGACTACTTGTTTCATAATTCTACAACAAATCAGACTACTACTGACATCTTCAGAATGATAAAGCTGTTGTGCTTCTTGGCTCTCGGTGGCATAGTGAGATGTATGGATACAAACTGATTGTTACAGCAACATCCTGCTCAGAGGTGAGATTAAGTCAGGAGGGGAACAAGGAGAATGCTGCTTCATCCCAGAGGAAAACTGAATCAATGATTTCTTAGTAAAGATACTGGGAAAGTGATGGATCATCTTAATTCAAACACATCCTTTTTGCAATCTTACAAGTATTCTAAGGTGGTTTGAAAACAGCATTATGAATGGAATGGGGCAAGTCTTCAATTAACAGCAGTTACTCACACCACATTAACAGAATTGCTCCATATAAAATAGCAGATGCTGTGACCCTGTACACATTTGCAGGAATTTTTGTTTAACAATTAGATGGTATTTTGGCTTTGTGCAGTGGTGCTGAAATCCAAAAGGAGGAAAGTCAGGAAGCACAGCATCTGCCTAGCTAAACTGAAGGCTGTGTTAAGCAAGACGGAAGAAAAAATCTTATTAGGGAGAAATTTTAACTGTCTTTTCCTTATATCATCTTTCATCTGCAGATAATATGTATATGACAGCTCAACATTTTTCAATAATAAAATAACACACATTAAGACAACAAATATCTTTTCTCCCTGTCTCTCAAGTATTCATTTTCTCTAGAGGTCTTTTGAAATTCATGCAAGAGGTTCCTCATATGAATTGACAAAATATGACAGTTCATCCAACTACTGTTTTGTGCCAACTGGAGCATGTTTTCTAACAACTGCTGTTAGTACTTCATTTTTTTTTTGGCCAGAACTGGCACTAGAAATGCACTTTCATGTATTGTTTTTTTGCTACATGCATGGGAGACCTGGTGGACAAATATTTCTTATGTGGAGAATGAGCTCTGACACTTCTTGGAGCAGGAGGAATGAAAACGAGAGCTGTTGCTAGTTGTTCTCCCAACACCCCTTCCTCACACCTCTCTCTGTAGCTGTCTTGAAAGACTGTGCTTATAATTGATTGATGAAGGAGTCCTGGCCCTTTCTTTGTAGTTTGATTTTCACTGAACAAAACAGCTGTCAGAGATTTTGGTGATTCAGTCCCCGGTGCACGCCGAGGGGTTGGGTGGATATAAAGTAGATGCTGTCATTTTTACGATTCTCTTAACAAATAAATGAATAGCTGCATTATTGCTGTTTTCTCTAA